AACATGTCAGAAGGCTCAGAAGAACTTCTTCCAGACAGTGCGATGCTAGATGACCTTTTGTCAGCTAGAGGACCACCAACACTTAGGAAACCAGAGTTTGAAGAAGTAGGAACAGGAAGCAAGATTCCAAAGCTTGAGTCACCGACCAAAAGGTACCCACCTTTCTCAATAGGAATGGTGTACGAGCACAACGATGAGGAGCTGCCGGAACCGGATCTGGAACCTGATGAACTGTGGCCAGAGTCAGACTATGGATCTGATCAGGAAGATGATATTTTTGGCAACGAGGACTCGGGACCTCCCAGTCTCTCTGACCAGGAACTTCGAGATCTGGATCGCAAAGCCATGGTGACAGAGATCGATCGCCTCATTGCCATGCAGGCAGTTCAAAGGATAGCCCTTAGTGAGATACAGAAACAAGATGGAACAGGAACAGAGAACACAGACGATGAAGGGACAGGAACTAAGTGGCTCACAACAAAATTCGTCTTTGATTGGCGATTTAGAGAAAGGAGATGGACCAGACGAGCAAGACTTGTCGCCAGGGAATTTAAGTCCCAGGAACAGAGAACGGACACCTTCAGTCCGGCCACCAGTGCCTCATTGGTGAGGCTCATACACGTAATCGGGTTGCAACAGGAACACTCCCTGTATATTCCATAGACGTGAAGGACGCTTTTCTTCAGGTACCTCAAAGGAACAGGACCGCTTGCGAATTTCCAAAGGAATACATTGAGTTGTTTGGTGATGAAGATCCTGAGAGCAGGAACGAAGGGTTTCTCTTGTTGAGAGTGTTACCAGGACAAAGAGATGCAGCTTTACTGTGGAGCGACCACTTTGCAAACACCCTTCAGGAACAACAGTTTAGCAGGAGTGTTGCTTGTCCGACACTTTTCAGAGACCCAAGGAGCAGCATTTTGGTAGTTCATGTTGATGACATCCAAGCAGCAGGAAAGAGTAGTCATCTGGAACCAGTCTTGAACAAGGTAGGAACTACTTACGAACTCAAGGTTGAAGGCCCCTTTCTTACTGACCAGGAACGCATGGTAGGAGAGTCTCATCAAAGTATCAGATTCCTCAAAAGGAAATTTTCGTTTCACAATCATGAACTTCACATTACGAGTGACCCAAAGTATCTAGCCAAGCTCAAGGAAGAGTTGAAGCTCAAGTCGAAAGCCTCAAAGCCAACTCCGTGTACCCAGGAATCTCAACAGGTGGACAACACCAACATCCTAGATCAGGAACAAGCAGCATCATTCAGGAAGTGTGTAGGAATTCTTCTTTATGTAGGACAGGACAGACCTGACCTTCAGTTTGCAGTACGAGGACTTGCATCCAAGATGTCAGGACCTACACATCAAGCCTGGAAACAGCTTATTCACCTAGTGCAGTACATGTCTAGGACCGAAGGATATCATCTTGTGTACAGGAAGACACCGAGAGGTATGTCGAACCTCCACGAAAGCATTAGGAACGGTTCATTTGACTTCAGCGCAGTTGCAGAGAAGCAGGAACATTTGTTGGAAGTTTTCAGCGACAGCGATTGGGCAGGTAGCAAAGTTACCAGGAAATCTACATCTTCAGGAACCGTGTTTCTTGATGGACAGGTAATCTACACATTTTCTAGGAGCCAGAAGAGTGTAGCCCTGAGTTCAGGTGAAGCAGAGTACTATGCAGGAGCATCAGCAGCATCTGATAGTATCTTGTTGAAGGAAGCAGTTGAGTTCTTGACAGGAAGAAGGTGCAAGGTGAACTTGTATCTGGGTTCATCAGCAGCTAGAGGAATCATTACCAGACAAGGTGTAGGAAGAGTGAAGCATTTGCAGATTAGGACCCTTTTCTTGCAGGAACTTCACAAGCAAGGAACTTTGAGCGTTCACCCTGTGGGAACCAAAGAGAACACTGCCGACATAGGAACTCAAGCTTCTTTTGCATTGGCTAGGATTCCAAGATGAGAACAATGACCCTGTAGGTAGAGAAGAACTCCAGGAACACCGAAGCCAGGAACAAGCCCGAGCCAGCATCAGGATGATTAAGTCCAAAGGGAACTTCGCTTTTGCAGCTTTACTGTTTTCGGCTATTTCAGGAATTTCGGAAGGCTTGGTTTCAGGAAAAGGTTCAGGAACAGTGCAGTCAAGTCTAGGAACAGTCATGTTTCAGGACCGCATGTGTGCTGACACGAGTGCAGTTGCATTAGGACAGGAGGACCGCGTGAGTGCTGACACGAGTGCAGTTGCATTAGGACAGGACCGCATGAGAGCTGACACGAGTGCATGTGCATTAGAAGTAGGAACAGGAACAGTTTGTGAAGCATGTGTGCAGGAACCGTTTGTACATCCGCAGATGTTCTCCTACTTCAAGGAACTAGGCCACGTTGTACAGGAACTCTGTGCGAGCCATATCCCGGAAGGGAACGCAGAAGGACCAGAAGAAGAAAGTGGAAAGGAAATTGAAGAAGAAGGAAGAGAGATGGCCCAAGCCGTGAAGGAACTCAAGGAGATCATGGCGAAGCAGAACGAGAGCATGCAGGAACTGAAGCAAGACATAGCAAGCATGAAGGAACCGGTGCTTCAGCAAAGCCAGCTGACAGCACTGGCGATAAAGGAACTAACCAAAGAGGTTAGGGAGCTCCAGGCCAACTTCAAGGAACTTCAAGGAAGATGGGATGAGTTCATAGAAGAGGAAGAAAAGGCAAGAGAAGAGTACGCGAAGTACTTTGACGAGCAGGAAAAGCTAAAGGAAGAACTCAGGCAGGACCGTGACCGTCTTCTTGAAAAGGAACTGAGGATGGAAGGCCACCGTGGACCAAGGACTTCTACGTCACCTACAAGGAAAGAAGAAGGAGAAGAGGACATCAGCAAGTACAACGACCGCGGCTACTTCGACAAGCTCCAGGAAGAAGAGGAAGCCCAGGAAGCAATGGAGGAGAACGAGAACGAGTACTACACACAGTCCTACGAGATCTCAGAGGAAGAAGCAGGAGAAGCGTGGACAAAGGAACCAGAGGAAGGAGAAGCAACAGGACCAGAGGAGCCAAAGGAGGAAGAAGAAGAAGGAAAGCCAAGGAGGAAAGAGACACAGGAAGAGTACGACGAGGAAAGGAAAAGACTCTTGGCAAAGGCAAGGGCAGACATTGCCCAGAAGGAAGCAAAGAGAAAGGAACAGGAAAAAGGTTTCAAGCCACCTGTGGATAAGAGCCAGGAATACAAGTACTACAGCGAAGGAGGCCACATCTACAGGCAAAGCCACAAAACAGGAGAGAAGATTTGGTGGAACTACGACTACACGTACAAGCACCAGAAAGGAAAAGGCAAGGAAGCCTACGAGAAGGCAGGAAAAGGAAGCCGACCACACCAGCCCTTCCAGCCACGAGACGAAGAGGACAAAGCGTACTGGGCAAACATGGACGAGGAAGTGAAGAGGAAGAAGAAGGAAAGAGAGGAAAAGAAGGCAAAGGAAGAAGAAGAGGAAAGGAAGGCCAAAGAGGAACGAGAAAGGATCGAGAAGGAAGCAGAGGAGCTTACCAGGAAAGCAGAAGCAGAAGCAGCAGAGAAGCGGCAGCAGCAGAGGACAAGAAGAAGAAGGCAGCAGCAGAAGAAGAGAAGAAGAAGGAAGCAGCAGCAGAAGAGGAAAGGAAGAAGGCAGAAGCAGCAGAGGAAGCAGAGAAGAAGGCAAAAGAGGAAGAAGCAAAGAAGAAGGAAAGGGATAGGATCGAGGAGCTCGAGAGGCAGCTTGCCGAGCT